AAACTCATAGACACCACACACACACACACTCACACTCATACACACACTCACACACACTCACACACACACACACACACACACACACACCGACCGACGCATATTCACACACACATTTATATTCATAGACACATACACATTCATACTCATAGACACACACAAACATACATACACACTCACACAGTACATATAATTCTAATGTTGTTACATTAAGGAATTCAAAACAAAATTTAAAAGAAAATTTGCAAAGTACTGACAAAACAACATCTTATAAAACACAGACCTCGTATTTTTAAGGACACACTGGACATGCCGTTATGTTAAGTCTGGGTTTTATAAAACTCTATGATTTCTTTTCCACTTATGGCCATTAAAACTTTTTAACTGATGACTTTTCTTTTCCTGCCAGTTACAGTGCCTGGAAGGGCAGCCACTTCTGCACCTGAGGAACCAGGGTTAATTTTCTCTTCCCAATTTTTTCAAGTTCTCTAAGATATTTTCTACACAACTGCTCAGGTGTTTGTGAAACAGCCACTTCTGTGAATTCAAATTTGCCAGTCATCCATTTCTCATTACTTTAAATTTTATTATTAACATTACTATTATTGTGGTTATTATTATTTTAACCCTAGTAATTGTGGGTGCCCTAACAGGTTTTATTTGACTTTATTATTGATTAACTTGTCTCTACATTGATTTATTTGTCTCCTAGATGTATTTTAAAATTATGAACCATTGTCCTGGAATTTTTTAATTCTGGTCAAACTCTTGCATTTGAGAGACTTGGGAGAATCTATGAGGATAACTCAGTTTCTGGACTTATTGTGGAAGCTTACTAACAATTCAGTACTAATTATGTTTAAGACTTTTAAATAAAAGTCTTAGGTACTTTGCAGTGTATCCCATCACCAAAAGACACCCTATAGTTCTCGAGGTAATAATGCATTAAGATGTTATTTGGTGGGAAACATTACATATGTGTATATGTATGTATGTGCATATATATATATATATATATGTATACACATATATACATTTATATATATACATATACACATATATATGTGATAATTAATCCTTACATAAATTGTTTACTAGATGCAAGCTTCATAATTTTAGAAATAAAAAAATGTATCTGTAAAGGAATGAACCTGTGTAAAATGAAAAACTATGCTGCTACAATGACTGGCCAGCGTGGCTCAATTAAACACTAATGTGAGCCATGGATAATGCTGTATCTTTCATACCTGTGGGAGAGCAGTAGCATATAGGAATTTTCTATGCTATCTGCTCATTTAACTGTGAATCTAAAATTGTTCTAAAATCAAAGTTTATTAATGTAAAAGAGCAAATTAAACTGAGGAGCTAAGAATCTGGCTCCAGACAACCAAGGACATGGATACCCACGTCCAAAGCCAGTCACCACAAAGACTCAGAGCATTGTACCAGAGACAGCTGACCAGAAGACTTATACTGATATGGTGGTTAATTAAAAGAATTTCTGATTTGCAGGGGAAACTTAATTGTTGGTTAATAAGCTTAAAAACATCTTTTATGCATTAGATGGAATGATTTGAAATTGCCAGGATAATAGTCTGGTACTGGTATATCAATATCATATCTTTCCTGTTTTTGTGATCAATATTTCACTGTGGTAATAACTTGTCTTCATAACTCCTGGTTTGTTTTTGCAATTTCTTCTCACTAATTGGATTGTTTAACAATTGGCAAATGACATATGATTTGTGGTGTATGAGAGGAGACCATATTAGGCCGAGGAAACTGACTAGGTTAGAGCTGTTTTGCCTTCACATTTTTGTCTTTGAAGAAACAATTTTATTTCTCTGGGGAATGCATTTGTAAGTATGTATCAGATTTCTTCATTAATTATGGATCATATCCACAATGTATATGTAATTGTTCCTTTCTAACACCACACTGGTTGTTCAGTGACATGTGATCTGTCTTTCTAACGATTAACATCTTTCTTTCTACGCATAATAGGATGTTCGTCTCTGTGCAATTATGCATGCTAGATTTCAGCCAAGAAAAGAAGAAAAAATATAATTACTAGAAGGTAAAATAGTAACTACAACACAAACATTGTGCTGTATACACAAAAATTTCATAATTCATCAGATCCTTTAATTATTTTCTCCTTATAGAATAAATGCCAAATGCACACTTCTTCCACTATAAATATGTCTCACTGCTTTTTTTCTTTAATGTAAATTCAAAATGTACTATACACTGTGTTAAAATGAATGCTGATTCATTTGTCACAGCATGCAGGGGTCACCCTGCATCTTTTAAGGTCATAACTTTAATGTAGTATAAAGGGTATATTTCTTCTTCCACATTTATAAATGGAAAACATGAAGCCTAAAAGCTGTCTGGGAATTCAGCCAAAGACAAAAGAAGGTTGCTGAATCTCTGGAGACTTGAAAGAAAAGTGGCTGGCATTAGTTTGGTCCTCACCATAGACAAAAATTAAAACAATAGACATGTACAGTAATCTCTCTTTTAAGGAAAGAATAGAATGCCTCTATAGTAATGTCAAGTGGAACAATTTGGTCCTGGCCCAAGTTATGCAGCTGTTCTACAGGAAAATGGCAAAAGGCTCCTGTCCAAAGCAGGCAAATAAGGCATGATTGTTCATAAACAGTCACTGGGGCCCTCACATTTAGAACAAGGAAAACAACATTAGCATTCTGGCCAGCAGGCTACAAACATGAGTCTCTCTGCAACTTGAGCCACGCCGCAGCTTTATGATTTATAGCAAAGATAGTGGTGTTATTTTAACATAAACAATGCACATAATAATGATGAATTGCTCATTCTTTAGGAAATCACATGTTGGTCAAACATACATATGAAAGGCACAATGAAGATTTGAGTATGAATTAAGACTGTTGTTCAGGTTGCATATAAGATGAAAATAAATTTTATGATCTGTTATGTATTTCTGATACCCATTTGCTCATTAGGCCTGGATCAGGTAAATAGAAAAGATAATAGGAATTAACTATCTTGGGAAACTATTGAATGCAAAACCAATAGTGTTGCCTTTCAGTGATGCCAAAATAACAAAGTGAGGAATCAGGTGCAATAGCTGCAAAGTAATGGAGCGGAACTTAGCTGGTGATTACGAGAATAAATGACACAATTTTCAAGCGCCTAGTGGGTGCCCGTGATACCACATTCCTCATTTTGGCTCCCACTCTTTTGAATATGTTTTTAAGACATGGTCAGCCTATGCTTTAATTTACCATGTATTTTGAAATCGTTTCAAACTTTACTTATCATCTCTTTCCCACTTTTTATGTTTCGTCTCCTGAAAGTGAGTGGGCTTCCCATGAATGATTCAGTCCTTTCCCCTGTGATGAACTTCCTGATGAATGCTCATCAATTTTCTGTCTCTTCTCTATGCTCTATAAAAGATCATTTTTCTTTATGAACTTGAAGAGTTCTTTTGAAAGGAATCAAATGGAATCTTTCCAGTCTTCCCTTGTTTTATAGCCTGTCTGTCTCATCTGACATTATTGTGAATATTGTTTAAACCACAGAGATATACAAGTTTAATCTTCTTCAAGGAGGTTAATACCTTCATGTATTGGAAATGATACTTTGAAATGGAGAGGAGTGGACAGATTTTTGAGACAAATTGGGAAGAACATAGCAGCATTCTAAAGGAAAGAAGGAATCAAGGACGTAGACTCTAACTTTACTGTTACTGTTGTAAGAGTTTATAGGCAAAGAAAACAAATAAGAATCCCTGGTGACAGATCTATAATACAAACGAATAAATTAAAACGTCTTTTGTAAAATGATACTAGCATACCTGTTATAACACTGGGACCAACAAGGATAAATGCCAAACATGACTGTTTTAACACATTACTAATCTATGAATTAAAATTCAAAGATATCACATAGATTGGGATACTTTAAAAATATAAGGGTACAAACTCTTGTTGCATATCTCAGTTTTGCCTTATTTTTGGTGAATATCATATAAATGTAAATAGACAGGCCATCCTAACTAGGATGACAATTGTCTGTCACTCCTAGGCCTGGCTCATTCCTTTCTGAACAACTGGGGCTTTGACTCCAGTCATGAAATCACCATGAGCCTCATTCTTAAATTTACAGAGTAAAACCAGCTAACAGAGTGGCAATTTAGATTCAGCAGCTGAAGTAGCAAAGAGTAGGCAGAAGTCGCTAAGCTTTGCACAGGGCTGAAGTGTGAGCAAATCCTGCCTCACCAATCTAAAACCTTTATGAATAAGAAAAGAAAAATAACTCCCATTTCTGAGATTAACTTTTCCCTCCTGTAACATAAAGAAACTTTCCTATTTCCTCTTTCTGTTTGCATGCTGTCATTCATCAACATCCTCTGGGAAAGATTAGTCAGTATCTTCTGAGAAAGACGGAATTTTCAATTTGTTAAACTTACTAAGACTTTGTGTTTTTCAATAAAATAAGAGCTTATTGCACTTTGGAGCCATCTTAATGCAAGAATGGATATTGTACCCAAGTTTATTTCTACAGAACTGAATCTCAGAGATTCATTGATGCTGAATTGCTGAATCATTTCTAAGAGGAGTGATGCATGTTTCCTAGAATGACAATCTCATAACTTCCATAATTCATTTATTTCTCTAAATAAAATGTTACTACCATTGGACAGGAGAGATGGGATGGCATAAGATACCCAAAAGACTATTATTGTATTCCGTTTGAGCAAACTTCCTATCATTTCTAAGCATTTCAGATGTCATTGTGCCCCATATTAGATCACTTGATTGTATACTTTGTATTTATACTCTAAATTTACGCACATTAATTTTAAGTAAATCTTAAAGAGAAAGGGGTAAATACAAAAGAGCCTGTTCTCTTGTTTGACAAGAGAGGGTTAAAATGTAGATGTCTACAGTTACACCCTGCCATTAAAGATTAAATTACACAAGAGTAAAATGTTTACCATTCATTCAATCACTTACAGTGGTTTTCCTTTAGATTCACAGGTCAAAGTTAAAGCCTGTCCTTCTTGTGGAAAAGGAGTGGATGGTATAATCTTAACTGATGGTGTATCTAGAAAAAAAATAGAAAAAATAGTTAATCACATGTAAGGATACATTTTATAATTGAATCACCTATTACACACACACACGAAAATATCTGAATATCATAGGAGTACCTCTGAAATCTGAATTTAAATGTGACATTGCAAACAAAAAAGTGGTTCAGATGAATATCAAGTATTTCACACAATTGTTTCTTCAACTATTTATAGATAGCTATGAATACTATTATTGTGGACTGAATGCATTCATGTGCATTTGAATAACAACACTTTCATTGTCACAGGACTGCAAGGGACTCACAATAAGGAACCCCCAATGAACTCAAGATAAACTACTGTCTCAGAAGCATTATTCAGAATCTTTTTGAAGAGGCAGCCCTGCAATTCTGAGTACATGCTGTTTTCCTTCATGCATAGTGGACAAAACATATCAAATAGCTACTTCATATGGTTTCATATGGTTTCATAATGCAATGATATAATTGTCAAAAAAGGTAATCATTTCATTTTTAATAAAATCAATACTTGTGAAAATAGATTATAAAAAAATATAGGACACCTGGGTTTAAAAATCACATGATACATGATATCCCTTAATTAAGCTGAAAGTACATGTTTCATAGAGCAAATGAAAAAGAATGATTGAAGAATAGAGGGAGAGTATAAACACAGTAATTTCTTTATAGTCTGTGGAGAATTATATGACCAGATCTTTATCTCTTATCACTCTATGTGCATTCTATACACAATACCTCTGACTTCACAGACTCATTTTTCCCCTTCCACTTAGAAGAATGGAACACAACTGAAGTCATCTTAATATGCTGTCTTGGTAACAAGCACAGGCGGCAACAATCAATTCTGTAATATTTAAGTTAGTTGTTTTCCTTAAAACATAGTAATCAAATTTCACTAATACAAAAAACAATCTTGTAGATGATCTTATATGCTGAAATTATTTCTGTTACAAACACCTACTTTCTCAATCCTGTAAGCAAGACAATACATATGAAATAATAAAAAATTATAAGAGAGGATTTGGGAAAGATAGATGCTTATAATCTCAGCATGTGTAATACAAAGACAAGAATGATAGTGGTTATAGTCCTGCTTGAGGAACAGACTGATTCCAGGATTGAGATGTACACCAGTGTCAGAACAATTGTCTAGCACATGCAAGGCCTTAAATTCAATTTCTATCATCAAACACAAAATACATGTCATAAAGGTTACAAATAGGCTGTCCATGTGGTAAATTATTATATTATAAAATATCTCTGAAGAAATCAAAAATTAGAAAAAATATAAAAATGTCATTGTACTTCTTAAATAATGTAAGAAAATTAAATACAATTTATTAATTTTTAAATAACAAGAAATTTATGGAATAATTTGTTGGCTGGTGTCATAATTTATTCAAAAATCAGAGAAATGTAGATAACTATGTAGTGTCATAGGTATGACCTAGAGTTATTTAATCAAATTGAAGCTTGCTGGGATTTCCCCTTCAGCCTAAACATACTGCATCATCTTTATAAAAGTAAATTAATTTCTAGTGGAAAAAAAATGGAGAGCAATATTTAGAAAAGTTTGTTTCGAGGAAATATATTTAATTTGTTGTTCTCTGAGGTGTCAATCAAATTTGGTATAAAAGTATTCTAGAAATTTCGTTAACAAGGATTTTTTTTAATTACCTTAACATTTACATTGGATATTTACACAATGGAGTATTACTCAGCTATTAAAAACAATGAATTCGAGATGTTCCTAGGTAAATGGATGGAACTAGAAATTATCATCCTGAGTGAAGTAAGCCAATCACAAAAGAACACACATGGTATACACTCACCCAGAACCTTGAAATGCCCAAGATGCAACTCACAGGCCACATGAAGCTCATAAAGAAGGAAGATCAAGTGGGGGTGATTCAGTCCTTCTTAGAAGGAGCAACAAAATACTCAAGGGAGCAAATATGGAGACAAAGTGAGGGACAGAAACTGAAGGAGGGGCCATCTGAAGACCTTTCCACCTGAGTATCCATCCCATGTGCAGTCACCAAAGGTAGATGCTGATGTGGAAGTCAGGAAGTGCATGCTGATAAGAGCCTGATATGGATGTCTCCTCAGAGGCCTTCAAGAGTCTGACATATTCAGAGGCAGATGCTCACAACTAGCCATTGAACTGATCATGGGGTTCTCAATGGAGGAGTTAGAGTGAAGACTGAAGGAGCTGAAAGGGTTTGTGACACCGTGAGGAGAGCAACAATACCAACCAACCACAACTCCCAGGGTCTAAACCACCAGCCTGGGAGCACTTAGGGAGGGATCCAGGGCTTCAGTTGAATATGTAAGTGTGGAGGGCCCTGCTGGGCATAGGTGGAAGAAGAGATCCTTGACCTCATGAAGGCTGGACGCCCCAGAGGGTGGGAATTTTGAGGGTGGGGAAGTGGGAGTGGGGGGTAGGTAGGCGTTACAACCACAGAGAAGAAGGAGAAGGGGTGAGGGGATAGGGGATTCCTGGGTGGGTGGGGGATGGGGTAAGGGGACAACATATGAAATGTAAATAAAACATCCAATTAAAAAAAAAAAAAAGAAAAGCAGTGCGCCAGAGGTAGCCAGTTAGTAAATTTACCATGAGTGTGATGGACACAAGAAAACATAATAGATATTGAGAACCTAGCTGGGAGGGCTGGGGGAAGAAAAACAAGTTGGTGAAAAATAAACATGGTCTAAAAGCAAAACAAAACAAAACAAACAAACAAACAAACAAAAAACCCATTTACATCAGAAGACTGAATAAAGCAAATTGATCTCCAAATGTGGATGGGTCCCATTCAGTTGGATTTCTAAAGAGAGTAAAGGAGTAATCCTACCCTAATCATTAGAAGAATCTGAGTTTTCTTTCGTTTCAGATTTACTAAAATTTGAATCTAGAATGGACTTCAAATCTCAGCTATTTAAAGCTTGGACAAAAACCTGTGGTAACTTTAGGATGTGATAGAAGCATCAGAAGCATAGATATATTGGAAAAAAATTATGTAGCTGGGGCGTGTTTTTGTGTACCAGGACACAGTCTCCCGCAACCCGTCTATGCTTACTGGCTATCCTGAGCGGGATAAATATTGTAGATATTTAGCTATCTCAGAATACTATAGCTATCTCAGATACTATAGCTATCTCAGAACTAGAATGGACACAAGTTTTCATGAATCCCAAGTCTACAGACTTTGAAGGAGAGGGAATAAGAAACATTAGGTTCTGAGGACATTAGACCTAGGCTGAAGACAAATATGTCCATGACTCTGTAGTCTGTACATTGCTGGCTCACTCTTTGTAATCTTGGACATATCACCTATGACACTTTGAGAACAATTCTCTAAAATGAATCTCTTTTTCCATTTATATATCAGACATCCTGCTTCTCCAGGTGGTTCAGAATTATACAGTGAACCAGGACTCTTACTGAGTCCCTCAGCTTTCTCAATTGGTCTCTGATGGATGTTTGTAAGACACATGTCAGCTGTCAATATTTTTGTTGTTTAGATCTTTCTCAGAGCCTCAAAGAATAATGTGCAAAGTATAACATGTAAGATATTTGCCAGTTCAATTAAGAGTTTGGTTCAGTATTGTTTCTTGGACCAAATAGAAGGCTAGAGGTATCAGCTTCCTGAGACATCTGTCCTACTAAGAATGCAATATATATTTATTTAGAAAACCAATATTCTTTTGGGCACAACTTAAGGTGTGTGAACATATATTACTTCTTTTATTTGAAACTTTCTGGAGTTCACTCGTTAATAGTATAAGCATGGTTAAAACAGAATCATGAAAAAGTCATTCATCGTAAAATAAAAAGTGTAAAGTTGTATTAATTTGCGAAGTGAGGATACTCTGTTCTATTTGATAAAAGTCCAAATGAAAACATTGATCCAGTGGAATGGATTTTCTGTATTTCTAAGAAAGATTTTACAGAGGAGCTGTTACAAAACTACTTTGAAACCACATAACTGACAACTTCAAAGCCCAACCCCTGAACCATTCAGTGTTAGTGGTTCAGCAACATCTGTCCATGACTGACAGTTTTGTGGGATAGCAAGTAGAACTTTGAATGAAATATTTTCCCTATGAGTTCCTTTTTTATTATCTTTAATCATTTTTCTACAGTCCAGTCGTTATCCCCCTCCAAGTCTGGCCTCCGACAGTTACTTATCTCATTCTTATTCTTCTTCCTCTCCCCCTACGCCAAGAGGATGTCCGTGTTCCCCCTCATCTCCTAACACCCTGTCAGACATCCCCATTCCCTGGGGCCTCACATCTCTTAATGGTTAGGTGTGTCTTCTCTCATTGAGACCAGACTTTGTCTTTTCTATAGTTAAAAAATAAATAAGAATTTGATTTTATATACTGGTAATATTTTTCTGTTAGTGATGTTGGACAAGGCATGAAAGAAACTTTTAGTATATCAATCCATACCATATAATATATAGAGTGAACAAAGATAATCTATACTGTAGATCCAGAGTAAATTACACTGTTCAAGGTTATCCACAGTGTTCAGATGTTTCATTAAAATAACATATTTTGATAATGTTATTTGTTGACAAAAATATTTCCTCTGACTATCCACAATTATGTATTCATATAGAAAACATCTATATGGTTCCTAAAACTTAAAGGACATGGTATTCTCATATTTTTATCTGTTATTTGAAGTAAATTATAGCAACATAACATAATATCATGATGCTTTGAAATGTCTTACTTTCACTTTTCAATTTTAGCCCTAACTTTTACAAATGATGCTACAGGGTGCTTATGGTGGCTTTCATAATCCATGTGAATGATATCAGAGATCATTTCTTTCTTATGAATAATTGTATCGTCAAAGTGAATGTAATTTCTGGACCTCATTTAAGTGCCTTTTTGATAAGTTAACAAGATTTTGGAATATTCTTTTTTTAACTTAATATTTAAGAACACTCCTCTGTTATAAAATCACAGTTTCTTAT